TAACGAGTATCTGAGCAAAACTGGTTCAGTCCCAGTGAAGGACCCAGCTTGATTCCAGAGGAAGGTTTGTATTAGGAAAATACTTGGACAGGAAATGTAGGGTGGAACTATCTGTGAATGAGAATGATCAGGAGAATGGATGTTACCTCCTAGGAAAGGGGAGGACTGACAATGTTTAAAAAGAATAATCTGGCAGTGTCCTCTGTAATATGGGGCCAATAATAATGCCTATCTCCAAGGGCCACTATCAAGATTAAATGAGATAATGAACATAAAGCACGTAACGCACTGCGTGCCCTGGAATGTGAGTAGTGCTAGCTGTTACTAGTGTTCCACTATGGTTCTGCAGGGAGAAAATGCAAACAACAAATGCGGAAGGCTCCTCGCTGAGACTTGGGGTACGACAAATACTGTAAGGGGCAAAGCCAAACAGAGAAGTAGCAGATAATGAGAAAGTAGAAGAACGAAGTTACTTTGGTGCCAAGGGGGCCAAGGAAGGCGAGAATTTCAGGAAGAATGGAGTGTTCAGTCAAGAGGTGGATAAACAGAACGTGGACTAAGAATAGTCAAATTGACTGGTCAGTTGGGAAGTCAGCGCGCGCTGTCCCGGGGCAAGGAGGACTAACGCAGAGCGAAATAAAAGAACAGGAAAAGGAGGGGACGAGAACCTGGGCGACTGGGCGGAAACTGGAAAAGTGACAGAGGCCCAAACGCCACGTTTTAAAGTGGCTCCGAAATCTCTGTTATGTGGGGATTTAAGAAGTTTTAAGATGAGCATCTAGAACGCACGCCTGCAAGAGTTCACTTCCTCAGGCACCTAAAGAAGCTGCGGACATCTCGGAAAAAGGCAGTGGTGAAATCGGGAAGACCTGCCTCGTTCTTTCATCCTCTCTAGATAAGTAGTTATCGAATGAGTGAATGAATAAATGAATGAATGAATCCCCAAAATACTCTTCCCGTGGCCAGACACGCATAACTCGCCTGAGAAAATACGGCTTGGCATAGAACTTGAAGTCGACCCCCTTGAAGTAGACGTCAAACTCCGAGACCCGGGCGTAGGGCACGCGGATGGCAATAATCAGGAAGTCGGGGTCCTGGCTGAGGTCGAACGCCGGGGTCAGCATTGCCGCGCCGGACTCCGGTACCCAAGTCAGTCACTCACTGCGGCCGCGATCTCACCACTCAAATTGTCCAAGAAATATCCACGCGCAAATACTCGTTCGGTGAATCACAGCGCTTCCGGCACAAGACGGAAGTGCTCGTGCGTGAGAGCGGAAGTCCCGCCCCTCGCCTATCTCCGTGGAGACGGGACGCTGTTAGTGGAGACACGAAGAAAGGGAGTGAAACTGCGTAGGAATTGAACCCAGAGCGTAACTTGGAAAAACCCAGACAAGAGTCCACCTTAAACCCACCAAGCCTATTTCGAGGTTCTTAGAGATGATTTTAACATTGGCTTTGCAGGTAGACAAACCTATGTTTGAATCCCTTCTCGGCCACTTCCCAGCAGTTAAGACCATTGGAAAGCTACAAAACCTCTCTCTGCTTCACATATCTCTTCTATAACATGAGGATAACACTAGGACCTACCCCCATAGAGATACTGTGAGGATAACATGAAATTATGTAAAGCTCTAACAACGTACCGGGCAAGTTGTCAATGCTCGATGTTTTGGATTAGTCACCACAGCAGCATCCTTACTGTAGTTTTCCTTAGATCTCACCTGCTTGGTCAACAATCCCCTTTTCTCCCTCTTCTTAGCCGTTTTTCTATGCCAACTTCTCTCCCCTCTCTCTTCCTCTCCCCCTCCGTATCTCCCTCTTCCACTCTCTTTCCTAATTCCTTATTTGAATAGAGTTTTTTTGTTTACAGATCGTCATCCACTCTAGGAACTCCAAAGAACGATTCAGAAAGGTTAAGCAATATGTCTTATAATAATCATGCATTTTTACAATTATCAGAACCTAGAATGCCTGACTCTTAAACCATGTTAGTGCCTATATTGACAAATTGCTGTCTTTCTATACTTTCCCTTCTTTCCCTTTTCTTACTTTTCTCCTGAGACTTGTTTACGGTCCTCTTCTGTCTCCTTTTTTCCTTCTCTTCCTTGTATTTCCCCCCTTTAATCTATGCTACTCATACTCTCTCAGTACTTCTCCCACTCGTCTCTCTCTTCCCCTACATAATCCTTTGGCCTTCCTTTCCTCTAACTTTATTTCCTGTTATTCCACCAATAGCTAGAATAGTCCAGGAAATAGTACCTATTTCCTTCTTTAAATATCAGTGGAAGAGTTTACCTATCTCCTCTGACAGTGGACCAGATAACCTCAAAAGCCTTTTCAACCTCCCATTTTTCATGAGTCTTGAAAATTAATTAAGACTCAGATAAATACATTAACTAAAGCAAACAAAATGTTAAAAATTTAAAATAAAAACCACTCTTCTTAAATCTGCAAGTTTTGATAAAGACAAAATAAGAGGTCATGTGTAAACCAATTTAAAGAGTACTCTTACACATTCAGCTATTCCTTGGGTAGCAGAGGACTTAATAGAATTAATTGAAACTTAGTATGTGCCAGCACGTGCAAAATCCTTTAGAATATCATTTTCCCCTCCTGACAGCTCTATGAAGTAGGCATTATATATCCCCACAGTTTGCACAGGATTACACAGTTAGTGAGTGGTGCAATGGTAATTGAAACCCAAGTGAATCTGATTCCTGTTCCCAGGCTCTAAAATACTGCAGAACTGACTCCCTCTGTCATTACCACCTTCCCAACTTGTTTCACATTCTGAGCCCAAGCTTCCCTGTTTCAGGCCATACTGAGCCTTACCAGTAACATGCACTCAATACTGTAAATGAATTGATAAAACCTGTAGTTAGTAAAGCGCTCAAAAGGTCCCTTAAGATAGGCCTTTGACTGGATCATTCCAAATTAGCTTCTCTAGAAAGAATCTTACATTTACCAAGCGTCCTCATTCCTATAGGTCACAAGTATTAATATTTTTAAATTATTAATTCAGGAAAATTAACTGACACTGAAGCTATGCTATCCATGAGGAAACTCTAATTGAAAGCATTTTAAAGTGGAGCTGTGCACTTTCTAGATATTTTATTCTATGTTTGGCAACACACACACACACACACACGCACGCACGCACGCACACACGCACACAGGATTGCAACACAGATAGACTGTATGGTTCATTGCTGATCTTATAAGAAATATATACAGTATTACATCTGATGTATCACAAAATACTGATAGATGCAACTTCACCACACCGGTCTAGAGCTGCCTAGGCCCTTCCTGTTCCAGATCCAGCCACCACATGATCACAACTGTACTAAAGACCTCAAGCCAGAACAGCCCAGCCAACTCCTCACCAAATTCCTGACACACAAAAACCAGGGCAGGGAGTTAGTTAAATGATTGTTGTTTTAGACCATTAAGTTTGCTTGGTTATCCAGCAACGGATAACTGGAACAGCAGGCCCTTAATAATACCTACTATTTATTGAACACATGGTTAATTACCAGACGTGGTAATAAGGACTATGTATGCATTATCTAAATCCTCACATCAACTTTTTAAGACCACTAACATTAGTCCCATTTTACAAATTAGGAAATTGAGACCGAATAATTTGCCCAAAGTCACAAACTCTAAGTGTGCTGAGACTCAGGTGTGCCCAATTCCCAAGCCTCTGATCCCCAAGGAATGGATGAATTTGTGTAAAGAGTACTCTAAATTTTAGTTTCACACATTACCTCTTATGTTGTCTTCATCAAAACTCTGACTTAAGCAGAATGATTTTTACTTTGAAATTTTTATTTTATTGGATGTATTTTATTTTACAATCCTATCTCATTTAACAACTTTTCTCTGAGCCTCCGATCCCTCATCTGTAACATGGGTAAATAATAGAACCTACTTTGTAGGACTGCCCTAACATCAAATGAGATCCACATAAAGCTGTAACCTGGAGTAAAAATCCAATAAATGTTTGCTACATCATCAGCAGCATCTTCTCATTCTTCATATCTTGGCTTAAATATCACCTCTTCAGAAAGGCTTTCCCTGGCCACTTTACATAAACATTGGCTCCCTTTTATTCTCTATCACTGCACTTTATTTCCCTTCAGGGCACTTAACTATGATTTGTAGTTATATGTTTACTTGTTTGCTTACTATCTTTCTCTCCTCACTAGAATGTAAACCACGTGAGGCACCACTACATTCCCAATACCAAAAACAGAGGCCGGTATATACCATGGGCTTGATACATAAATCGAAGACATAAATGAGTACAGAAATAGAGAAGTGCAGTATATTCAAGTAGGTGGATTAAGTTCGGGCCTAACGAGTATCTGAGCAAAACTGGTTCAGTCCCAGTGAAGGACCCAGCTTGATTCCAGAGGAAGGTTTGTATTAGGAAAATACTTGGACAGGAAAAGTAGGGTGGAACTATCTGTGAATGAGAATGACCAGGAGAATGGATGTTACCTCCTAGGAAAGGGGAGGACTGACAATGTTTAAAAAGAATAATCTGGCAGTTTTTTTGGTGGTGTTTTATTTGCAAGTTATTGTTTTGTTTATTTTTTATTTTTGTATTTCTAATTAGTGGTAAATTATACAAGTTATAAATTCTACTTAAAATAATTTAAACAGTCATTTAAAAATAGAATCTCAGCGGAATTGCCTTGCATGTCTTATGCCTCATACCTTTGAAATATTAAAACAGGGCAATATAAACTTTGGGCTGGGCCTAAAGCAACATTGTGTCCAAAAAAAAACTGTTTACAGGGATAACAAGAAAGCTGATATTATTACTATCAGACTGATGACTACCAGACTAAAAATTAAAAACATTCTTTAGAGTTAGCATCTCTATGTTAGCTTATCTGCACGAATAGAAATGCCTTCCTACTATTGATGTAATTGTTCTCCTTCCCTTTCTTATAAATACCCCTTGCCTTTGTCTCCTAATCAGAACCTTATTTGGGTTTCTGCCTGAATCAGTGCTTCCCAAATAGCTATTTTTCAAATCTCAAATAAATGCTTTTTGCTTCTCACTTTGGCCTTTATTTTATTTTTTTCAGGTTAACATATCTGACATCAGGAGTGGGATCCAAAATGGCTTCACCTTCATGGACCAGCAGCATACCCTTGGTCTGGATATGGTACCTAAAGAATCTTTTTCTGTGCTCACTGCTTCCATGAACCACTATGTCCTTGATTGAATTCCTCTTAGGTTAAAAACTCCCTCCTTTTTGGACTGAGGTGAAACATCTTTATTTGAGATCAGGAGGGGTTTTCACCTCAAGGATTATATATATATATATATATATATACCTCCAGAGGGAAATTATTATAATTGGTTTATAAAGAGCTCTGTTTAATTGGTTTAAATAAATTAAGCACTTATATCAATTAAGAAATACAACAGAAATGAACACAAATGTTTTTCAATACTGTATGATCTTGGAAAATATTTGATATTGAAACATATTAAGTTAGTTTCATTAAAACATACATGTGTTTAGCATTATTAACTTTTAATATAATATTTTTATTTTATCTGGGTTTACAAAAAAATAAGTTGTGTCATCCTGTTATAAGGCTTGTCAACAGGAAAGTAGTTTGGGATAAAAACTGACTTTGTCTGATGTCACATAAGATTTTCATAAATAATCTAAATATAATTATTAAAATTGGTTAAATGTAAGTAGAATAAGAGGTTTTTAAAAAAAATTTTAGCAATAATTGTTTTACCATATGTGTACTTAGAAATAGTTTCCTAAATACTTTTGGTAACTTGAAACATTAGTTTTACTAAGTTAAGTTAAAAGATGAAAAATGTTTTGATGACATCATAGCAATGGAGGCATGAGGTGAGCCTCTTGAAAACTCCCCTGGAATTTACAACATTGAACAACTATAATTTCATAAAGGACTCCCCGCACAGCAGACAGGCTAAACTAAGAGACACACAACTGAAATCATCTAAAAGTGGGCAAATTGGGCGATCAGGGGGAAAGAGGGAAGTGGGAAAAGCAGAGACACGGGCTGGAGCTCGGAGCTCCCAGCTCCCTGCATTCCAGAGCAACCACAGTTGCAGGAGAGGGAAGAATTCTGACTGCTAGCCCTCCCCTTTTGGCTCACAGTCCCGCCTGAGGGATCAGCATATAACACAGCTGAGCCCAATGCTCACAGCAGAGACCTCAGAGCAAAGACT